TATATATATATATATATATATATATATATATATATATATATATATATATATCGATGGACATAAATATATACTAGACTCTCAGACATATGTTGACAACAAAAAAAATCGCTTCGATATCTAGCACCGAGTGCATACAAAAGAAGAAAAACTCGGAATAGCGATATCACGTGGTATCACAGGTGAGAAAGAAATATGTGTGATACTAACCATCATCCGAGACGTCGCCTGGAACACCTCGCTGCTGTTGCGACGGTGACGGAGAGGACTGCGAGAAATTGTGTACCTCGTGTAAGGAGTCCAGACTTCCATATCGAACTGGCGGCAGGCAAATCGACTCCATCGATGGCTGTAACGCCAACACAGTTAAATATAAGCAAATAAAATAGACAACATCGCCAGATATGTTGTTAAACGATAGACTAGTAACGAATAATCAACTCACATCTTTATCTGTTTTGAATTTTTTAATAACGCCATTATTCATCTTCTCGCCCAACACGCTGGTCAGCTGATTGGTGGCTTGCGTCTTGTGGTGCATATTAGGTTGCACGGCAATGGACAACGGTGACCTCGTGGTCGATCGCGATCTGGAGTCTCGCACGGGCCGTTCGGATAGGTCCATCAGCGATTTGTCAGCAAGTCTCTCGTTCAGACCAGACAAGCGTTCCGATAGGAGATTCGGCGACACCGTGGTGTCGACTATACTATCGAGCAGGTCGTCGTTCTCCATCTCCCGTTTCGCCAGTTGCCACTCCATTTCGATCCTACGTTTCTCCTCCTCCCTCTTTTCGGCCTCGCGTCTTTGCCGATGTTGATCTCGTTGCAGCATCGCTCGCGTTTCCTGCTCAAACCTCCGTATCCTTTCTTGCGTGGTTGCGCTCAAGCCGGCATACGTTCTGATCGCAATCTCATCGTTATCCTGCTTGGTCTGATTAGACGCGCTGGATATCGTGGAGCTTGTTTCCGCCGAGCTCAGACCGGTCTCGCTCGACAATCGCGGCGAGTCTACAGATGACGAATGTGTCGATTGATTCGCGTACTTAGAGCGATTCGGCGATGCTCCGTTCGACGAACTGCCACCAGCAGCGTCGACCGACAAAGATCGGTCGGGACGGTCCATAGTATGATTCGACTGATTCTTGCTCTCATGCATCAGCACAATTTCGCTGACGGAGCACTGTCGCTCGTTCAGGGCCATGCTTTGCCGAATCGTTGGCGAATTTTCCGACTCCTGTTTTGTTTTCGTCTATATCAACAGATAATTGTTATCAATATATTACTTAAGTGTAATTACGATTGAATTACGATCGATATTAACCTTATCGTTGTCGTGGTCGCCGTTGTCGATTTCGTCCTGTGTTTTCCGTCTTCTTTGTATCTTTTTGTTAGCTGCGGATATGATTGATGATACAATGTCCCTAGCCGATGCCATGTCGCGCATGCCTGTTTTATCAAAACGAAAGAAGGCGAGCAAAATAAATACATTGCTATCGAAGCGAATAACTGCAGTCAAGTAATAAATGAAATATACAGCGAGCTTGAATAATTATTCCTTGAAAGCACTAATGATAACAACAATAAAGGAAAACAGAATGAAACAAGATTTGCATTTATAATATATAGAAAACGAGAAGCACGTATATAAAAAGCAATAAAGTGAGTAAAGTACCTTCGATCTTCTGAATGTTATTTAACAAAAGACTATGATTGGTGTTAGATGTCGGTTCAACTTCGCAGCTATCAGCTGGCAGGCTTAAATTCACGCTCAATCTGCTCAAGTCGTCCAAGTCGTCCTCTGAGAAGAACCAATCAACCTGTTGGAGAAAGGCATTGACGTTTTTTAAAAGCAAAGAACATAGAACACATAGAGTCAGTATTAAAAGACTAACTTACGTTATTCAGCAGATTCTCGACTATTTTACACTGATGGGACATATCGTTAACCATGGTAACCATATTGTCTCTCGAACCACTCGCTCGCACCAGTGTCGGTCCGAAAACAATCGCCAAATTCTTGGCCTCCATTTTGTTCGTTTCACTGTGCTCCACTATCTTCTTCAAATGTAGCATCAAGTGTTTCAGCGTCTCAAAGTGATGCTCCGGAAGATCCCGCAACAATTTTCGTATCGTGGTCATTCTTCTCTGTGGATCTTCTATCTTATCAGCGTCGATAAACATGGGATACAGTTCGGCCGTGAATAAGGAGTCAGGAAGTTGACGGAAAAACGACTTCAGCAACGACGATATCACATTGACGTCACTCCAGCGTGGATCCTGGACAGACACAGATCGTAGATGCACGTATCTCTCGAGGAGTCGCAAAGACGTTGGTATATTGAACACAATACCTGAAAGTTTATGTTGTTGAATCCGCTATTAACGCTGTCCGTAAGTTGGGAAATCGCTGCAGTATTTCCGGGCACCCGGTAAATCCCCACAACCTCGAGACCTCTTGCTTCGACGATCTTCGTGCATATCTCGACAATCATCGGCACATCGGAATCTGGAGCACGTGGACACAGCTCGAGTGGCACTTTGAAAGTAGCTCCTTCGGGTGGTAATTGCGCCGTGGGCGAGGAAGGTGAGCCTGTTTGACCGTGCATCCTCCTGAACTGTTTCGCCATTCGTCCCTTCCAAGTCTTCGACTTGGGCGATGGTAAAGGCTCTACCGTTTGACTTGGTTTACGAGTCTTGTTCACCGGCGACTGGCCAGTCGGCGATCGATTTCTGAACGACGTTAACTTCTTGATACCCTTATGGCTCGGCAGAGGACTCAATCTTTGGTTATTCCCGGGGGAAACGGCGTTATTCGGAGTTGTCGGGCCCGTTGGAGTTTGCGGAACGGCTTGCTGCTTCGATGTACAAGACGCGATGTCCTGTGCACAAACGTAGAGAGTCCTCGAGTCTTTTATCTCGAACAGCAGTTTTATCGCGTACAAAAAACATCCTATAATTAACACTCACCGATGATCTTTCCGCGGCGGCCTGAGAATGAAGTGACCTTAACCAGAGCGCCATAGACGCCGCATCCTCTGTTTGTAATAGCACTTCCGCCGTAGGATTTGCTATACGCAGTACGTGTTTCCGCTTCGTATAGTCTTCGGCAACATCCACCACAGAGCACCTAACGTCGACGGTTTGCCCAGCGCTCGCTTCATTCTCGGTGCTCAACGAAGGACTCTACACTCGAAAAAATTAAAATCGAGTCAACTGATGTACTTTGCTTGGCGAACACTGATAGTTACGTAAGCGGTATAATTCTTCGTGATATTACATTTTGAAAGATTACTCACCTGACTGTGACGATCCTTGTAGAAATATATTATAGGACCACGGAGGATACCCCAGACTTGCTTCCAGGAACGATCGGTAGATCGCTATAATCATTAAAAATTTAGTATTTTATATATATATATATATATATATATATATAATTATATATAATCACCACACACACACACACACACACACGCACACGCACACACATTATAATATTATATATACATAATTATGTATAAATTATGTATAATTTTGTATATACATATACAAAACAGTCAATAAAATACAGCAAAAATTGATATATTAAATATAAGGTGACTAGATTTTTGTAATCTCACCTTGCCATCGAGCACTGTGAATTTAACATGAAGGGATCCCTCCTGTTCCACTGGTTCAACGTCTTTCGCAGTTCCATCGCAACTGTTCGACGTATCATGCGTAACAGCGATACTATTACTGAAAAAAGAAGAAACAAGTGTTTCAAATCTGTTGCTTACAAATGTATAAGAACCTTTCGGAGCGTATCTACTCAGCTACGACAACAATGTCATTCGCAAATTCAGAGTCGCGACGTTCGTCACGATCGCTGATCGATCGTAGACTCTTCGTACAAACTCTTCTCTTTTCCCTAAATTGAAAACGACACCGGAAACATCGATGTCACATATATTCAACTTATTAGTGTCATTCCGTTAGTAACAATCAGCCAATAAACCAATATCCGAAAAGACGCTAACAGATCTACATTGCCAAGAAGTCCAGAAGATGGCATATAGAACACGTACGATCACAACATGGTTTTAATATCAGAGCCATGAGTATTAGAACAGGGATTATCGCATTCTACGTGTCCTCGACATCACGAACAAAAATCCCTTATCACAGTAGAAATAATAAACAAGGATTTGATATCTTATCTAGTGCCACTCATGTACAATTAACGCATACAACAGCAATTGCGAACTCGCGGTACACTCATATATTCAGTCCATATCTTTATCGCGGGAATTATCGCTTCCCCGACTCGCTTACATTTTTCTATACGGAGAACGTGCGCGCGATCGCGCACGATCGTATCTCCCTTTCGTTTTTTTTTTTTTTACACAAAAGACGCTATATGTCGTAATCATATTATTATTAGTAATAATATGATGCGTTGGGAGAGACGATACGCGAAATTGCATAAAACTCTCATGCTTGTATGCGCTATACGTCGCGATTATTACCTCTTTACGTCCTACAACTCGTCGTGGCTAAAGCTAGACAGGAAGACAATGCAAACTTCAACACAGAAACGAAGAACGGATCGCGAGAGGAGGAGAGCAAGATATACATCAGCTTGGATGGAGAGAAAATGCGGAAAAAACTATAGAGGAGATGTACGCGGGCACATAGACATGTAGCTGTTCCCGTGCTTCTCAAGAGGATTCCGCTCTCACCGATTATGAAAGTTTCGATGCAAGGACGCGGCCTGTGTCATGTCCTCGAAGATGCGTCGCAGAGGCGTTATGTCGCTTGGAAATAACGGTGGTCGCCATCGTCTATGCGCACTGGAAACATGGATATGAACGGATGCAGCTTCCAACCATACTTACTTAACGCGCAGACGAGATTGCACCTTTCGGTGGGGGGGAGAGAACAACGAAACCGTATTGCTCGATATTTGGTCTTGCACGAGCAACGATATGAAGACTGAGAGAGAGAGATGGGAGAACCGAAGCGATTTTGGCGAGAAGGCATCGGCACTTTCTTTGGAAGAATTCGATAAAGGATGATAAATCGGCTGCCCCTGCAGACTAGTAGCTCGTATTCGTAAATTCGCATGTAAGCACAAAGTGGTCACCGTGGCGTGAGGCTCACGAGGATATATAACTCGAGATTATTTACCTCCTGTGAATATGAACTGGTTCGGAGTCGCTGAGCTCGAGATCACTGTCGACGTGCATTCGTTCGCTCCATGTTGCCTTTAGGTACGAAACCCGCCTGGTAGCTCGATCCTCGTCACCTATTCAAACGATTACGTCAATTGTAATTCAGCACGCTACAGCCGTGCATACAGAAAGTGTTATTTCATCGAGAAGATTCTAGCAGAGCGTGGGCGAGACATACTCTCTTAATAATTTCGATAAAACACGTCTCTCCGTACTTCGCTGGACGCATGCGTCGTAATAATTGCACATAATGTTTAAAAATATCGTCTCCTCGTCGTTTACTCACTGATCTGTGCATTCTTCTGTCGCCTGAGCACAACGCCGTTCTTGGTCGAGCCATTGGGCGAGGAACCATTAACCGGTGCTGAAAGAGAAATCAATGGGACAATTATTAACGCTTCATGCTCGACCTTTATGTAACGCAGATACACAAAGATACATTAAATACGTTAGACACGTGTGAGTGGCGCGCCGATAGGCTGTATCTGTGAAGCGTGATAATATCGCAAGAGGAGGAAGCGGCGCGGTAGTACAGTAGTAGAAGAAATAAAGAGAAAAAAGGGAGATAAAGAACTAACCGACTTGCATCTTCGTCGACTGTCCCGTCAGGTAATTGTCCTGCTTTCGCGGTTTGCTGTTGTCCTCGGTGCTGCTTCGTCTCTCCGCGAAATCCTCCTCGGCGGTCTGCCACGTATGCCTGGCGCTTCCTCGCGCCGAACCGTTCGTAGCCTCCCAGGATTCCACGCTGTTGCTGCGCGCCCTCAAACGCACCAACTCCGTCTCCATGATGGGCATCTCTGCTGATGATCGCGGAGTATTATTGTCCCTTCGTGTCACTGTTATTGTTACTTTGCTCAACGGACTAAATATCGACATTCATCGCTTTGTTAATAATCAACGGAAGTGAGACGATATACAGCGTGCTGTGGTTGCTGTCGCCTATACAGAAGCGCACTGGAAATGTAATTGCCACTTGGAATTACCGGCGTGTAGCATAAAAAGAAAACTCAGCTCGACAAAAAAGCACCGTGAAGTTGTGAGGGGGCAGTTAATATCCCTTTTGTGCATAATACACTATCGGTGCAAATTCCGGTTCCGTAGCTTCATCCGGTTACGTTCGCTCGAAAGCAAGCTTGAAATCGTGTATCTCTTTTGGATGGTTTGCAATGAATTATTGCGAACAATCTCTTGCGATTTATCTCTCGCGTCATTATGAACTTAGTTAGAGAGAAGAAGCTGACAACGAGTGAGAAGCGTGGAAATGATAAGTGTGCGTATTAACTATCATTATTATGTCATCTCCTCGAGAATGAGAGTAAGTACCCTTACGGGATATTCGCACTGTTAACGATATGTCGCGCGCTCACATTCACACAGAATGCATATGGATATCACCGATACAAGACGTAGTTGCACAAGACGACAATGCACAGACAATTCGACACAGTTCCTTAATTTTATCTACCTTCACTCTCTTTATAGTCGGCCGGCGGTTCGCAATGGATATACTTGCTGCCTATAGGAATTATTCTGTTGCCTTTCGATACTGCATGATGACCTAAATGATGACACCTGTTTACTGAGCATTACGACCCTCGTGCGAGTACTCGTACTCGTTAGACATCTAATTCGCGAAATTCGCCACGACTATTCGCATCGAAGCCTCGTCTTACTCACGCAATTTGTAATAACGAGTAGTACGACGCAATAAGTGACGATGATATGAAAATACGTTCGCACTGCAAACTTGATCGTACTTACCGGTGTCGAGGGACTTGGTTTCTCTCGATGGCAGTCTTCTGGGTTCTTGGCTCTCAGCCTTAGACTCAAACTCCCTTTTCCTCACAGCTACATTCGGTACGTTCCTCGTATTCGACAGTCTGGACAATTCGCTCTTGTAGAGATTCGTACGATCACTAGTAGGCTCGTCCTCGTCGCTCAGCAGACAACCCGATTCGAACTGTTTAGCTCGTCTAGAAACGATCTGCAGACCTTGCGGCGGCACCGGAAACTTGGTGTCTCCGGGTTTTTTGTCCGGTCCCGGTGAAGACGGCAGCGACGAGGTGCCGTTTCTCGTATCTTGCGACTGATTCGCGCCAACCATGCTTGTAACATTCTCATGTATCCTCGACAGAGTGTTGATGAAGTTGGCTTTGTTCGTCGCACGATATTGTTGCTGCTGTTCAGTCGGTTTACCGGAGCCACTGTGAGCAGTTGCGAGGTAAGTTTCCTTCGCGAGTTCGTCATCGTAGAGAAGCGAGTAACAGTGATCTCCGGTAATGGATTGATCGTCGCCGACGAGCTGTTGTTGTTGATCGATTCGATCGTTTCGCGATTTGGTGTACTCGGAATCCGAGTCCACTTCCTTTATCCTCTGTACGTTTTGATTCGACGGCTTGCCCGCTACCAAGCTCGCAGTGGACTTGGGCATGCTTCTTCCGTCCAAAGAGGACTGCCTCCTTGTGGGAGACTGTTGTCGCTGTTGTTGCTCGTTTCCGGGTGGCCAAATCGGTCTCTGTAACTTTTGCGGTCTCGCATAGAACTCTCTCTGGATCACAGCTTGATTGAGGCCGCTGCTCGCTTGAGATCGCGACAGCGACGTTGGCTCAGGCGTCGCGTCACTTCCCGATACGAACCACCCGATGGGATGACTCGGTCGTCGCAGGAATTCCGCTTTCTGCTCGAAACTCTTGCGAAGGCGGCTCATGATAACGGAATCATCGGAACACTCGTTGCCGGTGAGAGTCGAGTTCGAGTCGTATGGCGACACGCTGTCTTTGCTAACGGGCGACGAGTCCCGCCTCGACTCGATGCTCAACCTGCTAGACCCAGGTTCGCTTGATCTCAACGCGTCGAAACTGCCATAGCTGGCAGTCTCGGAATCTTGTTTCATTCCGCTGACGCTACTACATCCGCTACCCTCGCTGGCGCGACGCGCCACCATTCTCTTCACTGGTCGATAGATCGGCACCTGTGGCTCCGCATGCGACACCGGGTAACGCAATAGAGACGTCGGCTGGTAGTGGTGAAGCTGTTGCAGGTGATGGTGGTGCTGGTCGTTGGTGAAGCGCGACGACGCTTCGTTGACACGCACGCGTTCGTAAATCGGATCGTTGATCCGGTCGTAGATCTGCTCGTTACTCGGTCGCGAATACACCGATTCGGGACGCGTTCTGTCATACAGATCGTATCTCGAATCCTGGGACGAGCGGCCGTAGATTTGTGAGCTCGATGTGACATCAGTCGTATCGTGCAGCGGTTGCAGATTCCTGGCTCCTGGCGGAACTATATCCTCCGACGGATCGTAAAGCGCGCTCGCGATTTGCGATTCCGCGAGCGGCTGCTGAATCTGAGCGCGACGATACGGCGAGTCAGTTGACAACGACGGCGCCATTCGGCTTTTGTTGTCAGCATATGCTTGCTGCTGTTGCTGACTCCTGCGGCTTGTCTCTTCGTGATTGGCATGCGACGACGACGATGACGACGACGACGGATCGGATGCCGGACTATCGGACGACGGCAGAGAACAGACCCAGGATTGCCGCGTTCTCTGTGACGGGCCTGGGATCATGCTGATCGATCTGCGTTGCTTCTGTGACAGTCTTTCCGGGGAACGCAGCCGCGGCCGTTGATTCGTTTCCGGATTGTGCGCCGTTTCACCAAAGTACTGCAAGTATACAGATACGTTATTCTATGTGTTATTTCAAGAACATTCTGCTAATGGAGGTACAAATTCCAGATGCGATAATGTACCCTTTGTAAGATATCGTCCTCCTTGGAGACTACAAGAAGCCGCAGCCACGGTCCCGCTTGCTGAATGCGTTGCACCACGCTGGCGTATTGCTCTCCACGAGTAGGCGTTCCGTCGACGGAAACGACGCGATCGCCAGTGCGCAATCCCGCCTCGGCCGCCGGTGAATTCGCCCGTACTTGCTTCACGAAGATCGTGTCCATAGGCTCGTCGATCTTCGTCCGCTCGTGCCCTGGCAGCATCTGTAACAATCACAAACGTCATTTTTACTCGATGGAGATCAGGTATCTCCACATACATCCGCCTGTCTGTACGATACTCACGCAGCAGGACTCGGGCGGATAGACGATGAAATGCCGCAGCGTGAATCCGTAACCATTCTCACCACGTCTCAGCAAAAGAGTTCGGGGGCCGCGGGGCGGAGTGTTCTCCTTCTGAACGTACCTGGAGGACGACGTCTGGCCCGAAATACTGCTAGTAGCCGGCCCAGGTGCTGGTGGCGGGGGAGACAGATGCCCTACCTGTAACATGCAAACAATTAGTCGATGAACAACTTTCAAAAAACTCGTTGATTAGTCCATAATTTCGCTCGTCACTTATTTGCGCTTTGCCTTCGGTAACACGTATATCACACTCGGATTCTGATCTTAATATTTGCTGACGAAGTTGATGCCGATGATAAGCACGCCCAGGCACCAAGTCCACGAAAACACGCACATATACACGTGTGATGAATAATTATCTGTCTGCACAAATTTGCAAGCATGGCCGAACATCGCGCCCACGATCGTCGAATATCGAAAACTGTGTGCATATATCATTACTTCGCTTCTCTAATTACCGAAATCGAATTTTATACTTTCGCGAAGCGGGCGTATTTGCGGACATCGATTGAGCTCCTTCCTCTTCCTCTCCCTGTCTCTGTCTCTCGATTTGTACCGTCTGGGTAGACCGGCGACTAGAAAACGCGGTGCAACGCGAAAAAGCGGCAGACGGGCTCGTGGCCGTCTGCCAAGAATTATTCCAAGCCGACCCCGAGAAGTGGAGGTGGAGCTGGAGATGTCGAGAGGAGAGCGTTCTCGCTCTTTCGTGGTGGTTGAGCAAAGTTTGGCGAGCCGCCAGGGGATACGTGCTCGAGTTCGCGGTAATGCGCACCTAAGATCGAGACGAGCGGAATTCCGCTCGCTCGCGGCATTTCGCCGCGCTTCAGGGCGGGAAGAGAAGGAGTGAGAGGAGTCGAGCATCGCGGAAGCGAGAAAGGAAACTGCTGTATCGTGAAATCGAGACGGATATTCTCGTTTTGCGCGTAGCGCGATATCTATTTGAAATGCACGGGAGGGGAAAAAGGAGTAAAGTAAAACTAAAGGCTGGACCACAGCAGCGAGACGACGATAAGACGTGCTCCGTCTAGGCGACTGCTCGCCGTATTTCGCGGTTTTCCGCGTTATCTAATCCGCTCCGACACGTTTTACGCGCGTGTACTGGTGGGCAATCGCGCGCCGCGGAGATTGCCTCTGGTCCGTGCGATTAAACGTGTCACGGCTAATAAACGATCAATTAAGCCTCAGAGTCTTGAGTCACGCGCTAAAAGAAAGAGAGAGAGAGAAAGAAAAGAAATTTGACACAGCTAAACCGTTCAGTGAACACGTTCATCAGCGACGGTGAATTCGCGCCATTCAATGGCCTCGATCATGCGTGTCGTCCTCGAATTGGCTGCACAAGAGCGACACGATAATAAAGGGAATCAATGCTATCGAGATTTGTCGTATGCGCGACACGTTCCGGCCCGTGTGTGCGATTTTCCGGCGTTTGGCGAGCAAAGTCGGCCGGTCGGATGTTCCTGTATGGAAAACAGATCGTACAGACGAACGCGACGACGACGATGACGACGTCAACGACGACGACGATGATGTAGGTCAGAGGAGAATAGGCGTTGTCAACGGTAAGTGGGTCACCGAACCACCGGTGCGGAGCTCTCGGTCAATAATTACACGGACACGCGCGTCTTCGGACGCGCTGGCGTCCTGCTCGCCGTGTTGTCGCGCATCGCGAATTGACATTCGATATCACGTACGTGAAATGTGTCCTATTCCCCCGCGGAAGGAGCGAGGACGACGAACAAGGCCGTAGGATGAGGGTGGCGTAGAGTAGGTATGGTCACATATGCTCGTGTAAGCTTGAAATGAGAGTGCGCAAGGTCGCCGTGGGATCGACGACGAGAGCGAGTGTCAACCGACTCGTTTCCTCACCCTCTTGAAGTTACGAGAGTGTCCCTCATTCATTCACGCGCGCACACATAGATAACTAGCACTGCACTGCTGAGAAAAGCGATTACTCATAAGGGACCGTTCTCCTTTCTCTGGAGCGAAGAAATAGATTTTAGAACCAATCGATAAAGAACGTTTCAATAAGTGCTGAAAGTGAAGATTACGTCTGCGAGCTCACCAGGGTTTCAAAAATGTGCGATTTTGTCTATTGCTTCATATCTTTGTCAGTGTCTTGTCAGTCTTCATCACTTTGAAGGCCTTTACGATACTATCACATCATTCCAGAATTATCAAAATGATAATTTCGACCTGGGCTATTTATCATATCGTAGAGTACTGTTTTGACTTTGAATATCTTTTATTGACTATTTTGGAGGTTACACTTAGATTTCCGATGATATTGCGATCGACATCTATGCTTTAATCACTGCTTTCTAGACAAATTGCACGTAAATTGTCATGATTTCTCCACAAATTTTATTTTTCATTGTGGTACACAGTCCCGTAAAAGTCTTCAAACTGACCAAGCAAAGACTCTAGATATGATATAGGGAAATAATAATAGATAAAATCCTAAATTTCTAAAACTCTAATGAGTTCACAGATGTAAAATTCATTCTTAGCACTTATTAAAACGTTCTTTATTGATTAAAATAAAAATTCATTTATTTGGTTTAGAATAAAGAAGAACAGTTCCTTGTCAGTCTATTTTCCTTTTTTCTAGTAATGCTTATTTTCCACAAAAAATATTTTCGCGATACTAGCCATAAAATATACTCGTCATGTATCTTAGAAAAGCTGATCATGTATTCTTACTCTCTCTACAAAAATATTAGAAAACTTTGTCGAAGAAAGGGTCGGTTTGACTTCACATACAGAAAGATGCATACTGCATTCTAGTGAACATTATCTGTTTCAAGTATTTCGTAAATTTATTGTAACCATCAAATTTATAAAAAATACATTTTAAATCTTCATAAGTTTAGTATTTCTATCAAAAATATTAAATTGAAAGAAAAATTACTTAATTAGGTTTACTTAATACATAGAATCGAACTAACTTTTTCTCCGATAATTTTGTAACACTTTTGTGAAGGAAATTAAACATTTTTTTGAATGCACGAAAGCGAGTTTTTCTCAAATTTGTAATTAATAATTAAAGAGATACTTTGGTATTGCTTAAAAGAAGGAAAGTAAACTGAGTAATCGCTTTTCTCAGCAATAGAATAATATTTTTTTGTGTGTATATATGGCAAACAAACCAAGTCTTTGTTTTAATCTAACATTCTCGATTGAAATATTAAATTTGCTAGGATTTAGAATGCATTTTAAACTAGGTACTTATGATGATTTACTATAGATTCGTGGATATACAAGTTCATGAGATACTTGAAGCAAGTGACATTTACTTGAATTTCCTGTGTAGTACACTCAGTTACTAGTCCTAAATTAGGAGACACTGCTGACGCGTTCGCGCTGTAATCAGTTATGACAGGAATCGAAGTGACAGTACAGAGTGTGAAAATAAATTTGATTAACTTAACATTCAAAAATATCGTTATCCTCCCGTAGTTTAAATTCCAAACATGTGGACTTTGAAGGTTTAAGTACATTCCTTTATGAACTAATCGCAGCGCAAACGCGTCTCTCAATTGTGACAACTAGGAGCGCTACACAACTTTGTCCGGAAAAATGTGTGACCAACGCGAATTATTCGGCGGTCGGTTGTGACTCGCGGATATTGACATATCCGCGAGAAGAGAGCTGGCCGTGTAAGCGGACGTAAACGCGTAAAGAGACCCCTCTTCGTGAGTCCCTTCCAGACGCGCTTACGCGCCGACCTCGCCTAAAGTGTAATCAGCCGTTAGCCGATCGCAAACCGGTTCACGCCGCCAACGCTCGCGCGCGCAGTTCTCATCTTTGATTCGCAGTCTGTTATCCTGCTCGGCTTGACCGCGATGTGCGCGTTTCCGCCTTCACCGGCGGCCAAGCGGTGAAGGCGCAGTTCCGACATCGATAGCGTCGAGTTCCGGCGGCGTTGAGTGGTAGGCCTCGTGTGGGGCTTCTCATACTTTGAGTCTGGTGTTCTGATTATATGCTGGCCAATTAAAGGAAATGTACCTTCGACGATGTTGCCACACGTTCTACGTGTGCGTTTCCGAGCGTCTCGGGTCTTGATAACGCTCGTGCCGCTTGCCTTGTAAACGAGACGTTCCAACTAAATTGGGACCTTGTGTTTATCCCCCTCCTCCCCTTAAAACCTCCTGGCGCGGAGATTGTTGCAAATCAATTGTGCAAGTCGAAGCGAATTATCGCGCAACGATTTTTCGACGATTTTCAATTCATGTTGCACGCAGCGAGATAACACGTAATAAGCACCGTTCGAGGGCCGGCCGGCTGGCTGTCCGATGGCTTCCTGGAGAGTGAAAGTCGCTGATAATGTTCTCTCCGGTGGACGACAGCTCGGCGGTTGGTCGATCGGTCGGTCGGTCGGTCGGTCGGTTGATTCTCTCGATAGTTAACTGCCGGAGACGTTGAGCTTCACGTGTCGTCAAAAGTCAATGACGACGCGACGCGATGAAGCCGAAATTCGCGCGACTCTACCCGTTCGCGAATTTCAAACGACACGATAAACTCGAAGAGATCCCGCGAAGCTATTAACCACTCGCTTTATTCTCGCATGGCCCCTGGGCCCTATTTATGGAATTCTATTTGCGTCGAGATAAACCAGGTTCATTTGCAATGGCCTCGGGAAGAAGAAGCGTTTTCTCGGATCGAATTGTTGCGCGATTTTGAACTGTTTCGGGCGCGAGGGACCGGTTATCCGAAATCGATGTCAGTCGACGGAATTGTCCGCAGAGACACGCGGAGAGAAAGAAAGAGAGAGAGAGAGAGCGGTGGATTGTTAAGAGCGTGTTCTCGTCTTCCTGGTTTGTGCAAATTTCGCGCACTGCGCGCGCGACGCATTCAGCTGTCACGGAAGAATACGAGGACTTGAACAGTGTTCCCCTTCCGTCTCGGTGCCACGCGACAAAACTGTTCTCGCTTTACGCCAATCGTCGTGCACCGTTTGACCGTTTTCCTCCTCATGGCAGCGCTAATACCATTCAATACGACGAGATCCCGCGCGCACGACGAGCTTATATAATTTCGCTTTGCAGGGATCTTACGTAAGAAACGCGGACCGCGATCGACGACCGACAGTCGGTTTCGAACTTTTCCGGCGGCATTGAAAATGGTCATGGCACAAGTTGGCACTGCCATCTCGGGTTTTGATATTCATGCCTTCTTCTTCCTCACTTTCTTTCTCGTGAATTATGAGTATCTTTAATAGCAGAGCTTCTAGATCCCTGGTACACACGCAAAGTGTTCCCAAGTTTGCGTGCAAATTCGGTGTGCAAAAAATAAAGGGAAAACGAGCTCGCGGATCTGACCTCGTTCGTTCGTTCGCTACATCCATTTCTGTCTTGTATCCCTTGTTTGTTGATCTTATTATCGTTAACCTTCCCCGAGAGATCACGATTCAAACGATCACGAGACTTACTGAGACGCCAGGAACGACTCGCAAGATAAGAGAAAAAAAGAAGAAGCACAGAAAAACACGGTTTATTACGACGTGTTTTTCATCGTTATCTTCGCACGCTTTGATTCATATTTCTCGAGTTATTCTTGCACGTTAAGACACACATACATACACATAGACGCACAGCACGCACAGCCACTTGTAGTCGATCGACACGGTCTTGAAATAAAAAAGAAAAATAAAAGAGGAACACGTCCTCATCGAGCGCACTGCCGATCGTCGTCGGACGTGCTTCGAATCGAGGCGAGCCGCGGATCTTAATGAACGCGTCGCGTTTAAGAAGCAGAACGCTTCTTCCACAATGATGCGACCTCGTCGCGCTGTGTGTCGTCGAAGGAGAAAATGAGAAAGAGGTCCGAGCGGCCACAGCCAAGGCTTCCCCGCGAAGCAAAGTCCCGACGGGAGACCGAGGAGTCATCGAGCACGTCGACGACGAATGAGAAGAAGAGCGGGAAAACGCCTTCCCTCGAATCTCGTTTCGGCAGATTCGCGACGGCTGGTGATCTCTGTTCGCGACTCGATCTCGTCTCGTCGCGGGACTCGCGAAATCAATCGGCGAGGCCGCGTAACCAAGAACGTCGGTTGCCCTTTAAAGCGGAACGCATCTTCTCTCGCCGCATTGCGCTTCCCCGCTTCTCCATTCGATAAGACCACGCATTGGCGACGCACTCTCGGCCGGATTTGCGTCATCGTGGACAGATTCAGGCGTACACACGGTGGGTGGACTAATCGGAGAGGCAATCGATGTGCGATCATTGTGGCGAGAGAGCCGGTAACGCTGCGCGATTATGCCATGGGTCAACGCGAGAAACGAGTGTCACCGAGAATATATCCGCGCATACAGAACAATATCTTTCTGCTGCTGAGGAAAGCAATTATTCACTGTTCTTTCCTTCTCTGAAGTAATTTGGCTATCTTCAACGAAGAATATTCACAAATTTCAGAACAGATATATTGTCATATATTTAAAGGAAAAACTTTTTCTCTTTAGGAGAATATAAAACTTTTTATAAAACTTTATCGAAGGAAAAGTTTATCGACTCTGTAGTTCCTCATTCTCCGCAACTCTCTTTTATCGATAAGTGTTTCTAAAAACGGTTCATAATCAATCAGGAAGCCCATAAGGTACTTTCAAAGACATTTTTATCGATAAGGGAGAGAGTTCAGAATAAGGATCTATGTAGTGAGCAAGTCAAATGTTTTTTTTAACTTAATATTCTGCATTGAAATATTAAACTTATTAAAATTCAGAATGTATTTTTAATAAATTTCGTGCTTACAATAAACTTATAGAGTATTGAAACAAGTAACATTTACTTGGATGCAGTATGTATTTTTCTATGTGCGGGGATCTTGAGAAGTGTGCAATACGAAACTCAAACGCGTGACGCGACCAGCCGCTGTGAAATAAAATGTAAGGATAATATCAATTATTTGTCTCTCCCCTCTCTCTCTCTCTGTCGTAGAGGAGGACGCGCGCGCGGGACAGGTGTAGGCGCGGCTTGTTTATTGTTTTTGTCTGACGACTCGCGGCAAACTGAGAGAGAGAAACGAGCGCGGCGTACGAAATTTACTTAACGAAATTCAACTCGCAGGCCGCGTTGCGTGTCGACATCCTGCTTCGGCGAAGCTTCACGCTTCGAGTATTCGGCCGATGCGACCGAGTGCTTTCGTTAGGCGCTCGTTCCAGTGCGCCGCCCAAACGAATAATGAACAATAACAATGATAAAGCTTGGATTTTGGAAAGTTTGAATCTTAAATGACAGCCGTGCCTATCTCTACGATCTACGTAGCGATATCTCTGTGTTAACGAGATGACGCGAGGAATTCCCCTTTCAGCGCCACCTACTTACGCATGCGGTAGGGCGCGTATTGAAAAATGCTTTATTTGCCTTGCGGCATAACACTCTGGGTTGGACTATTTTTAAGCTGCTTATTTATGCAAACTGCTACCACGCATTTTCTACCGCACCCGGAGTGGTTTGCCGTACTCACTCTCTTTCTCCTCGTGTGCGATGGTTTATACCGAAAATCATCGAGAGCTTCTCCCTCGGTCCCTCCAGCCGGCGATTTATTTCGTCTGTAGCGAATGGAAGAACGAGCGGGACCGAGCGCGATAACTGGTCGGAATCGCTGTGCATCGGACGTGGAATGCGACTGGTCGATTTTCGGCGACGGTACGAAAGTCCGGCTTACCACCGCGGTCGCGACGCGTCACGAGCCTCACGTCAACGAACGTCAAATAAATCAGCGAGGGCGGCTGATTTCCCGGACGAGCGTCGTTGTCGTCGTCGGGACGAGGGAATACCAATGAGCAAGTGCCGACGTCTTGTTTCGCGGAAATGCAGCTAGAGCGTGTCGATTCGGCGGCCGAGGATTTAGCCGCGCGCGATCGGCAAGTTGAGAACCGCCGCTCGAGACGAGACCGCGGCAACGCCAAGTATCGGAGCGCATTCCGACGGCAATCTAAAAATTCGCGCTCGTCGAGAAGAGATAGTGCGAGAGAGCGAGAGAAAGAGAGAGAATCAAAGGATTGAACCACGTGCTCGTGTTCACGCACGACGGTATGTATTTCGGCCGCGTTCCCTCTGCGTGCGCCTGTTTCTCTCTCTCTCTCTCTTTTTCTCTCTCCAGCTTTTCTAAAATTATCGCGAATTCCATGTTGCCGCGGGAATATGGCCGATCGTATCGCGTATCCATCCGCGAAAACGCCCGCGGTTAATCGTCCGCATTGGCCGCCTCTGTCTGTCGGCGATTAGAGCAAACAGCGTAACTCACCACGTGCGATTGCCTGACGAAGCTCCGGTGGTTATTTCGGTCGTCAGCCATTGCGCCTTTTCCTGAAAGCGAATATAGAATACACATTACAACGATTCAACAGATTCGACGAGGAGGATTTGGATGAATCGTCATTCAAGTTTCAGGGATCTCGCAAGCTCAACGACGAGCCGGCTTCGGCTTCGACGTTGACTTAACGGGCGGTTTCACGCCAATGCAGAGCACAAAGAAAGAACTTTTGGCGACAGCATCGCGTGCAGACGTGCGTATCGAAATACGAAGCCGTTTGGTGCAACGACTGCCGACTGCATCGTCGCATGCAACCGGAGGTGCACGATGGCGAGTACCCGGCCCATTTGTCGCGGGAAACTGTCTCTCCAGTGATCCATCGTCAGCGCGATTCTCTCTCGCTTTTCTAACGATTCATCAGCGGAATCAGCGATTTCTCAAGTGGTTGCTAGTCACTCGAGGAACAGGAGAGCGACGCGCACGACAGTTTCCAGCCAGCCGTGTTTGTCGTTGTGGTATCGACTGTTGGCGCGTCGCGAAACTTATCTTGAATTTCAAAGCAAAAAGCACACACAAGCCACACCCATCGAGTGATAAGTTCGATCGATGGGAGCTCGCAACGATACGATTCCGCTGGGAAATAGCCGTGATATGATGAGCTCAAAAGTAAGAACTGACCCCGAACGTCTCTTGCGAGAGCCCAAGTTTGCGCGATGGCATTGTCAATTGTAATTATTAATCCATCATGATATCGATTGGCTCTACATGTACAGAGTGTTGCATCAACATATTGGTCGCATGACGGATTGTTTTATATGCTTCGCTGGTAGGTATGCCCGGACGTAGATATACTCAGTTCGAACTTACTGATATATACTCGTTTGCAAAATAGATTACACTCATTTCAGTTGCTGAGAGAAACGTAAAGAAACGTTGCATATCGTTTTACCTTGTCACACTGACCTGTATTC